ATTAGGTCACCTTCTCAACCACCCTGGACCTAAAGTTAGTCTCCAAGTTAAAGACGGTGAGTTATTCCTGGATATAGTAGGTAATTGTTAGCTTTGAGGAGGATTTTGATGACTAAGAATGAACACTTTATTAACATGGGCTCAAGATCTAGTTTCATTTTGGGGACATAACTGCAAGAGTAGTTGAAAAAGAAGTTGAAAAATAAAGCTACATTATGAGAGCTGCAATGACTAAATCTCATACTTTAGAAAGGATTAATTAGGTTGCACTAATAAAATTGGAACTATAAAGCCTCTCTGACCATGGTCACTTTGATTGATTAAATCAGAATATAATTTTTCTACTACGGTGCTTGAGAAAACAGCTCTAAACTGTGTTCAAAGCCTTATTGCACTTTTGTTGTTATTAAGAATAAAATTACTCTTCTCCCATATATTACCTTGTAATGGTAATTTGTCACATACCATCATTATTGACTAATTAAGGATCACCATTTCTCTCATGGACTCTTGCAATAGCTTGCAGATTGTTTTCTCACCGCCAGTCTCAGTCCCCTGCATTTCATCCTGGTCTATCCCACTTCAGAATAAGTGAACATAAACTGATTAAACTGAATGCAAACATGACATTATCTTCTCTTAACATATTTTGAATGGTGACTAATAACTATAGCACAAAGTTCAAATTTTACAGCATATCAGTAAAGAGCTTAATGATTTGGATCCATCACTTCTTGCCAACTGACAGCACATTACCATCCCTCCAGCCTTAGCAACTTTCTTAGTATCTTGCCACATGTAGTTTTCTCAACCTGGAATGCCCTCCCTGTAGCTCTAGACTGGAAAACTGCCACTGAACTTCTAGAGAGAGTTCATGTATTCTGCTCTCCATTATTTATTGCTGTTCCCACCTCTCCTGAAAAAATTGCAAGTTGCTCCCTGGTGTCTGCCTCTAAATTTCCATGTTCATCCAAGCATTAGCTTTTATCAATAGTTTTAAGTTTTTTGATTTGTCTATAAATGTGACTATAAGCTCTTGAGGCTAGGAATTTTGTTTTTTGTGGGTTTTTGTTTTTGTAACTTTGTTTTATATTTGTACTTCCGGTGCCTAGCAGAGCATCTGCTTGAATTCAAGAATGGATAAAAGAACATCTCCTCCCGGAAGCTGCTCTGCACCATTTCTGAGGCAGTTTGTTGGTCCTTTCCTGTCTTCCCTTTAATATTTTCCATGTATTTCCAGTATGGTACTTCTCACTTTATATGTTTATCCCCCCAGAATAGTCTGTGAGCTGAGACCATTTTTTTCTTATTTTTGTAGTCTCTGAATCCAGCATGCAATAGACCCTCAAACACTATCTATTAAAAGAAGGAAACCTTGAAAGCATGCTTCTCGGACTTGTGGGTTATGCTATTTTTTTTAATACATGTAATGCCAAACACTTGATTCAAAAAGACTTAAACTAGGCAAAGATGGCTGCCATGTCCTGCCCACTGCTGTCTTCTGCAGACAGTGGGGTGTCACTTCAGGACCTTGCTTCGGACGTGTAAGATTCCCCCCTAACCATTAACCCACTGATGTCTCTGTCACTGACTCCGGGCTCTTTCTTCAGCCTTGAGGCTGAGCAAGTACAGGGCTTGCAGGCTGTGGGGTGCAGCCCAACAACAGAGAACTCAGGTAATGTGTCAGCCTTATAGCCATCAATCCCATATGTGAAAAGTGAAAGTAAGAGTATGTGTGAAGGACACCATAAATCTCATCGAAGAGAACATTGGCAAAACATTCTCTGACATAAATCGTAGCAAAGTTTTCCTAGGTCAGTCTACCAAGGGAATAGAAATAAAAGCGAAAATAAACAGATGGGACCTAATGAAATTTGTAAGCTTTTGCACAGCAAAGGAAACGATTATTAGATAAATAAGTACCAGGGATATAATGTACAACATGATGACTGCAGTCAGCTCTGCTATGTGATATATAGAAAGGTTGTTAAAAGAGTAAATCCTAAGAGTTCTCACCACAAAGAGAATTTCTTCCTCTTCTTTTTACTGTATCTATATGAAGGGATGTATGTTAACTAAACTTATTAATCATTTCACAGTGTATGTAAATCAAACCAACATGCTGTATACCTTAAATTTATACAGTGATTTATGTCAATTATTTCTCAGCAAAACTGAGAGAGAAAAAAAAAGAAAAAAAAGATTGAGGTTTTCTAAGAAAACAGGACACATCTGGATAATAGTTACACAGGCTGACTGACTGCTGAGGAAGTCATCATTCTACCCAAAGGAGAGTCAGAAACCACTGGGCAACAAAAACAAACAGAAAACAAAGGAGAAAACTAAAGCCCAGAGAGTTTAACGGAGTTGCCTGAGGTCAGTCAGCTAACAAATAGACTTAGGACTTGATCTCGGGTTTGTATGCCAAACTGTTGGAAGTTGGGTTTCTTTAAAGTGATTCTTATCCTTTCAGCATTTTCCATTTTTTTTAATGGCTAAGTGTATTAGCAAACGCATTTTTCAGTATCTTGCAGATCCCAACTAGTTATTAGTCTTCTGTTCATCATTGGAACCATCTGGGGAGATAATTCTCATCAGAGATGGACAGGAAAGTCTTATATTAGGTTGGAGTTTAGACTTGAATGACTCTTAGATCACTTCATATACTAAGATTGCAAAATTCTAGGATAAAATACAATTAATTGAATTAATATATAACTACTTTATAATTACACTGCGAAGTTTTGGCCCTGGAGTCAAACTGTGTTTGAATTCCTGCTCTGCCACTTAACCACTGAGATGACTTGGGCACATGATTTAATTTCTTTCAGCTTTAGTCTCCTCATTTGTAAGACAGACATACTAACACTTAGCTCATTGTGAAGAATGAATGGGATTATAGACAGCAAACAGAGCTAGCAAATAGAACTCAATAAATATTAGCTCTACCGATATGTAGGGAGGTGGTGAAAGAAACTGTCAAAGGAGAGGGTATACAGTAAGAGAAGAGGTCTGAGGGCAGAGCTATGGAGAACATTTTGCTGGTGTGCTGGGTTGCACAGTATTCCCCAAAATTCTTGTCCACTGGAAACTTTAAAATGTGATCTTACTTGGAATTAGAGTCTTTGTGGACATAATCAAGTTAAAATGAGATCATACTGGGTTAGGATTAGGGCCCTAATATAATGACTTGTATTCTTATAAGAGGGAAACTTGGACACAGAGATACACAAAAGGAAAATGTGAAAACACAGGGAAGAGAACATCATGCGAAGACACAGAGAGACAGGGAAGAAGACGAGGTGATGTAAGAGACAGAGGTTGGAATGATGCACCTACAAACCAAGGAAAACCAAGGATTGCCAGCAACCAGCAGAAGCTAGAAAGAGGCAAGGAAGTATCCTTCCCTAGAGCCTTCACAGAGAGCATGACCTTGCTGACAGCTTAATCTCAAACTTCTAGCCTCCACAACTATGAGAGGATACATTTCCCTTGCTTTAAGCTACTCAGTTTGTGGTACTTCGGTGTGGCATCCCTAGGAAACTAATCCAGCTGGTGAGCAGTCACAGAAAACACAGGATGGATAATAATAACACTTTATAGTTTCAAAATATAATGTCAATTGATCCTCATAAATACCTTGAGAAGGAGCAGTTCACAGATAAGAAAATGGATGATCAAAAGTATTAGAGACTTGACAGAAGTTGGCAGAAACAGAATTTGAATCCCAGAGTAAGATCCTGTTTTAACACTCCCACCCTATTAAGCAAAATGCTTCAATCCTTTCCCACTCTTTTTGACGTTTCCTTCCCCATCACAACCCCAACTTCATTTTCTTACCTCCAGCAACTCACTTTCAGGAAGACTACTAATCAGTGAATTCTACTAGTATCACATTGTCCAAGCTTATGCATTATACAGCCTTAAGTCTTATTATAGAAAGAATTTATCTTTCGTAGGGATGTTTAGACATCTACAGTAGGTAAGCAAGACCCACTGGGGGAAAACAGGTCACTCCTCTACCTATAGTCCTAGAGACAAGACAGCAACCTACCCCCTGACTCCAGTCTTCACAGTCAATTTCAGCAGAAAGAAAAAAAGGTGTGAAATGACAAAGTTGTAAACACTCCATATTATAGAATTCTTATTGTGTATTCACACTGGCACAGAAAGATAGCTTACTAACTTTTTCTGGGTTTCACAGCTACTCAGTTTTAGAATAAACAAGAACCCGTGGTTCAACGTTCCTTCCATTAAACCACCTTGATTTTTCCTCCATAGATTTGCAGATGCTACTTTAACTGCTTTTTTAAGATTAAAATTAACTTTCAGCACAATGACTATCATATAAAGATGTGTATGTATTATTCTCTAAGCCATCAGTAGTACAGGCTTTGAAATCTTAAAGTCTTGGGATCCAGTCCTGGCTTTGCTGTGGGGACACTGGGAACATTACTTCAGTTCGAACAGGTAAGCGACTAATACCTACTCTTGGTATTTCTTGAGAAGAATTAATGATAGGCGAAACACCTGGCACAGAGAATTGTGCCCCGAGACCGCACAGATCAAAGCTTTTTGGGTTGTCCTTTCTCTCAGCAGCCATAGCGTGGAGCTCTCTCGGAAAACCTGACCACAGAAGTAAGCCGAAAGACCTCCGCCCCGAGAGCCACTTGAGGGCGTGTCCAGGGGAAGGTCCCCAGCGTTGGCTCCGCCCCAACACGGGGTGCCCTGCGCGCCTAATGGCCTCGGCTCTCTGCGTTCCCACATTCTGATCAGCAGCCGCCCGCGCCTCTTCCTCCCTAACCCCCTTCCTCCCTAGTCCCCCAGACGGGGGTGCCTGCCAGGATTCGAGACCAACGCGGAATGAGGCACAGCCTGGGACAGCCCGAGCCCGGCGCG